GGCCATGTTGGAATGTGGAGGGTCGCAGAACGTGTTTCACGCGAACGTCCACACCTAAAAACTCGCTGTCAAACATGACAACTGTCAGCTACGACGTTCAACGATAGACTACTTGCCGCACGACAAACAACGCTCCCTCAAATATTCCTACAGCGAGGAAATGTAAATAAAGGAACATACCGAAGTCACGGGAGGTACGGTGGCGCTCAAGGGGGGTACAGAATCAAATCCGTTCGTCCGGCGTCTGAATTTCTCCGGTGATCGCGCCCAAACTTAAGTGTGATATTACACGTACAGACGTGTGTGTGTACTACACGCCCGGTATGCAGACTATGCGGCCCAAGCCGAGCCGGGAACAGGTTTTTCCAGTGGTGAAGCCGAGCTGAGCTACAGTACGGCGTGGCCCTTGGGGAGGTGGGTCGTGCCAAGAAACAAAACAAATGGGAGGGGCAGCCTGCGAACGCGCAGACGCGTGGGGCGATGACCTCTCAGGAACGCCGCGGGACCTTCCACCCCCATCACAGGCGGAAAGTGGTTCGACCCAATTATAATTTCATGAGTACAATGTACTTATTGTTACCCCCATTGAAGAATAAAAACTGTGGTATATCATAATATAAAAGCGTGATAAAATATATAATAATCTAGTCTTCTGGCTATATCAGAAGATCGCTTAGAAATTTGACCTGTTATCTATAAAGTGAGTCCTAACCTAACGTTACCTCGAAATACAATACCAATCTCACACATATTTTATTTCTTTAATTTCCAAATGGTACATTGAAAACCCTCACTTTTCCGTTTGATAATTTTAATCGCCATCTTTCGAATTCATGTACAGTTATGTTTTCGACTTATTTGGGACCGAAAAACTGAGTGACACTACTTTGAAAACAGGCCAAAATACTCCAGTTTTTTATTGGAGAATTAACGTTATGCGTCATACACGTATGTAACGTTACGAAGCAGCTTTATTTATTAACTCGTGTATGCGTTCGCTAGCTAGTTTTTTTCTTCGTGGTTGCTCGTTTGTTTGTTTTATTTGTTTATTCCCTGATATCAGCGTAGACAACTTCACCGTCCAAATTCCTTTTTCGAAATCTTTTTACAATGACAGTTTCTTTCTTTCCCCGTACGGCCAAGCTTTGGAATTCCCTTCCTGACAAGTGTTTCCCACCAATCTACAATCTACAGTCTTTCAAATCAAACGTTCACCGCCATCTCTTGACATAGCCATGTTTCTCTCTCATATTTCCAGTTCAATGCCAAGGAGTGGTTGTATAGACCTTGCATTGAACCACTCCGTTAAAAAAAAGACATTGTTTTATTGAGCATCATAGAAATATAGAACACAGTGGCGGGAGCTCACAAGAATGGCCGTTAAGCGGCGACATCTAGCGACATCTTCAACCAATCCAATTCAACCTGCATACTGTTCACTGTACAATTCACGGTACAGAATGTTAACTACAACAAACCTTAGCATAAAAAAACTCTTATAAAACATAACTGTGATCCGTTTCGAATTTTACTTGCATACTGGAAGCCTGAAATGGAATTGCAATTTACTGGCATCCAGAAGCGGTCATCATAAAAATAACGCTTCCTATATTTATAACCGATAGATTTGCCATATGATAAACGCAGTATCTGTACCCATTTGGCATCGTTTCTGTATGGTGACGCAAACTCTTCTCTATTGCTGAACTGAATGGCAAAACAGATATCTCCAATTTCAGATGAACAACTAGTCGGTTTCTGAGAAACGTTGTTCTAGATGACGACACCACGCACCAGAGTCGTTGGCTCTATTTCGAGTACCACTGTATACCATCGTTCTTTCCGCTCCGCGTACCGTTATAAACATAATATCAGTTATCTTGACGAGACAGGGAATAGTGGTGCATATAGAGTCACGTATCAATATTATCTACTTTACATAATGTTTTACCATATTGACAACTTTCGCCCTTAGCCATGTTAGCTGATGCGGGCATTTCAAATACAGTCTGGTCACCCAAACTAGAGTATACTGTTCATACAATCAAATATGAGTTCGGTAAGAAAACAAATTAGGACATACGGAACATGGGGAAACAATTGTCTGTTTACGTATTGCGTCGGACCCGAATCAAACGTTACTGCCCAGTTAGCTAGACCAAAGGTAGTCTCATGATAAACTAGTTAATCTCGTCTGCGACAAGTTGACTATATACGATTTATGAATCTTTAGTTCTAGAGATCTGTGCTCCGGGAAAATGTGATTTCAGAATCAGAAAATAACTTCTTTAAAAGTATGTTTATCTTACCTTATAGAGGCGCAACATAGTGCCGTCTTTACAGCGAAGGACGCGGTCACACTTTCCAGTGTTCATCAGTAGAGTTTATCCTAGTTTTTCCTCTCTACGAACAACAGTCGGTTTTACCACAGATTCTTGTCACACGCACTTACTTCTGACTAACCTTACACCGATGCCAACAAGCAACAGGAATGCCAAGGGCAGGAATAGGGCGGGGACATTTTTATGACGCTTTATTTATAACACGTGTCCTTCTGTGATACCACAGGGTCCGGAAATGAGGGCAACACTACGTCAATATCCAAACCTTTGCTTGAAATGAAATGAAGTCTTCCTCAAGTAAGTCTGTCAAAATGATAAGCCTAGACATGACGTCGGACTAGGAGACAACTTCAAACGGTGACGGGCAGGCTTGATCTACAAGTTCAAGTTCAAGTGATGAACATGACCTTCTATACTCGCATTCAAGTACTTCCTGAGTACTGTAAACAACCTCTTCCTACTGCCATCATACACTTTGTCATGGAATGCTCTATTAAAATATGATGTTTTACGTAACAAGTTATTCACATCTCGAATCAAATACGACAGATTTCAAGAGAGTCGATGCTACAGACAGATTTTAATGTATCTTTAAATGCAATAACTCCTACAAAAATAGGTAATCATGTAAAAGCTAAGACTGCTCTGTTATTAGAAAAATACGAAAACTCGTAATTAGCTCCACTAAATTGTATATTATACTCGCCCTGCTGTATAAGTTATTAGGGTGTTTCATTCTGTATACACCCAGTTTTGATGCTATGTTCAATACTTGTCACCATACGTTGTACCTTGTACAATTGTGCAATAAAGTTCCTCTTAAGTTAATTACTTTGATTATCTATCATTTTCAAACGACTTTCCAAAACATAAACAGTCAAATATCCGTCTCGGGGTGACGTAAATGTGAATACACAACATAGTATTGTCTTGCTTGAGGAACAATCTCTTCGTATGTGGTCCCACGGGTAAGTTCGTGACTATAGCGACGTTCAGAGATTACCCCAAATGTGCCGGGAATTCCCACCGACCATGGTGTTGGGACAAGGCCGGACGGTTTTGAGTAGCTCTACATTCTCTACTCTGCAGGAGGTAACGTTAACGGCCATGTAGGTAGAAATTGTGGGGTCGTGTTGCGTAAAGGAAGAGCATTCGGCTCAGAACCAAGAGGTCCCGGGTTCGAATCCTGCCATGACACCAGCCTTGTGCCCTTGGGAAAGGCACTTTACACGACTTTTCTCCCTTTGCTCAGGTGAAAATGAGTATGCTAGAATGATCTTTATCATGATAGCGGGCATTAAAAAGAGAACAAATCATTAACTTAACATGTCCAGCAATCGCAACGCGTAAAAAATTAGTCTACTAGTATATAAGAAAGTTTAGTACAAATTATATACATAAATATATATATACACTTTGCATGACTGACTATACATGACGTTATGTTCACAGTGTACAGCAAAGGTTCACGGACGTCTGAGAAAATTGAGGTGTTCACGGAAATATATGAAAAAAGAAAGTCGGCGAATCATTTGTTAATGGTAATGATAAGTTCGCAGCACAGATCATGAAAACTGCGAACATAAAAGTACAGTGAAAAAAAATAGAAGGAACAACGAAATGATATTTTGGAAACATAAAAACTGATCTTTTGTGTTTGAATAACAAGTGAGTTAAGTAATAATCTAGATAGTTTCGTATAATTACTTGTTAATAATAAAAAATGCTGCATTCGATTTCCTGGTCCAGTGGATGGTAGATGTGTGTGGCCTTGGTTTGTGTTTGGTTATTTCCACTGTCGTTTTAAACGTCATTCAAGGTATGACAGAAATGTTATGGGCTACATGCACGATTTCATTTCATCTACATGCAGATATATGTGGTTGTCGTTAACATTCCACGATATCGAGTGAGTGAAAAGCATATATAAAACAAAACAACCTTCATATTTCTAGCACTGGAAAAATTCGAAAAGACTGTCTTTCGTAGGCTAAAGGATATGTCGGCATGGAAATGATGCAGTTTGAATTATTCTGTAGAAAGCATTATTTTTGTGTGTCAAAGACTTTTGTTGTAAACTATTACAACACTACTACTTGGTAAAACACAATGCAACCTAATGACCACCTGACTTGTAACCTATGACGTCAGAAGTACACTTGACTTCCTATTGGATCACGTGATCAAAGCCTCTTCAGTGGCAACCCAACTCTCAATAGACCTATTCTTCCACGAAAACAACCGTAGAAACATATATACATACTACATACCTAATCTGCCTTTCTTTACGTAACGGTTTCTAGAAGATGTATCCTTACCTAGAATTCAAGTCTAACATAACCTTACGTCCAACACAAACAACTATAGCATGAAAATACCACATGGCAAACGGCGACCAATACAGAAACTGCAGATGAAAATATGGACATCGCTTGCTCATCAGTTTGTGTCCTTATAATCAGTGCTGACGGCATTGTTACCAGGGTGATACCAACACGGAGAAACAGGGTGGGGAAGGTTCAAATCTAGCAATCAATTAAGCTGAGATTAAGGCGCCAATCGGCACCGCCCTGTCGTCAACATATGGGCAACCCGCCCACATATCATCACGAGCTTATATGTCGCCTATGTCGTCGACAGTTTCAGACCCAACCTTACCTTCGCAACCCGGAGGAACTGGTCCGGCTCGCGGGTTCCCTGCAGCCTCAGTCCCCAGGGAGGACCGTTCATCAGTACCACGGCGTAGCGGGACATTTCCTTCGGAGATTCTCGCACCTTTTCCCGGCCTGTTCTCCAACCCTGCTCGGTACGATCCCGTCCGTAACGCCCGCGCAACAATACTCGCTACGCATGAGGGTCGAAAGGAGAGGCTCCAAAATAGATCCCGGGAGACGAGAGGGCCACCTGAAAACAGGGAGGGTGTACATGGGGGTGCTCAGAACCGTTAGCCGCCTACTTTTAAAATCTACTTATTGGTTCCAATTAGTCAATAAGCAAATTTAATAATAGTATTATTGGAAGTAAACCGCAAAGTGCACCCTGTACTTAGTGTTAAAAGTCACATTCAAACGGATAAAAATAAACACAGGCTCTTAGTTGATTTTTTTTTATCGCGCATTGGAAGATGTCATCGGCATGCATCTAAAGAAAAGTGTCCTTGATCGCTTGTAAAGAACGCCAAATACTTTCAGCGAGCGGAAAAGCTTCCATCAAACGACCGACTGCATCACACAGCGGTCATGGGTGCGAGGTCTTTAAGCATTTTTGACCGTTGAACTCATCCTAACACCACAGCCCACCGCTTCAGCGGAAACGAAAAAACCCCATCGACGCTTCTCAAAACAAACGATCATGTTTCTTGCGGATAGCTGGCCTCGTGTGTTACGCAGATGAAATTTTATTGTGAAACCTTATCTCTCAACAAGTCATATAGATCCCGGAATCAACTCCATTGAACCACAAGCACCCGTACCTCACTGTTTGTAAACCTTCTATGTTACATACATATTGGGGCGGCATACAAATATGGACAGCTGATAGTTCATTGGTAAAACTAAAAATCTTAAATGAAATTCATAGAAACTTCTCTGCAAACAAGCTGGGGCTCGTTTCATCCATCCACAACATCATGTCTTACATATGTGGTGAGAAAACTGTCTGTTCTCTCAGCTTTTCAGACGAAGAGAATCGCGTCTTAGTAAGACTTGGCAAACAAAGCCGCTTTTTATCTTTATATTCTGGAAAGTTACAAAGAGTGTAACATTGATGAAATATCATCATACCTATATTAGAAATGATAAAGCATGAACACTTGATAGACGTTCCCTAACAGCATATATGTACATCTAGCACCCAGGGTGTAGGCCCTTCCTTCTATACACGATAACCTCGTCCGAATTTGCCTTGCTGCTAAGTCAACTCATGGTTTGCCCGTGACCTTGCCATTGGGCGTATGTAAGAGGAGAACTAGATCACTCCAAAATTTACGGTTGCCAACTCCATGTTCTCTCTTCATGTTTAACCTCTTGGCCAGACGTGCGGGCCCGCTATTAGTGTGACTATATGGCGTACTCTGTATCCTAAACGATACGGTATAGAGTACCGTATGAGAGATTTGCAAGCGTCTGGACACATATATGACCAGGATACTCGTAAAACATGGTCAATTTCCAGGTTTCTGCCATATACATATTTCCATCCGTGCATCTGTCCCCCGTAAATACTGCAGCAAACAGCTAGTTGTCCTTGGATAGTGCTGTGTCACAGTGTATGACTACCTACACAACGATTCTAACACTTTCATCCCATATACATAGCAACACCGCTCCTGACGGCATGTGAATACTGTACTGATACAACGTCTTAATTTCATAAGTACGCATTTATGCACCTATCCAGTGCACGTTTTGAACACCAAAACTGATGCGAGCGTGCGAATAAGACAGTTTGGCAATAAAGTTGTCTTCCTTACGTGCTCATGAAGGTTGAACAAATGACTAGCTATAGTAACCACAGAGAGAGTATGGTATGACGAACGATACTCTTCTTTTTCATTTCTAATTGATTTTGGCCTTCCATGACATTAGTATCGATATCGTTTTCCAATATCTTTTTTTTTAGATTACAGCATATATTGGCTCATTTTGCAGCTGCTTTGTACGATTTACGGTATGATGGAAAACCTCTTTTTAAACGGACGAAAATTCATCTATATAATAATATATAGTGTATGCAATCAACTACAAAATGACGCTCATCCTCAATTTTATCTAAATCACAAAATTAGTGGCAAATCCTTTGCTGTAGAAAAAAATCTGACCACGAAGCCATCCGTCAGCACCCTTCACAGCCCCCGAAGGCACCCTTGTCGGGTTGGCATGGCAACCCGACGTCCTTTAAACTCATTCTGTCCCGTTGAGAGCCCGCGAGTCTTTACTCACCTGCTCTTCCACTTTTACCTTTGACTGTTTACAAACGTGTTGGTGACAGAAAATAACGAACCGCTTTGTCGTCTCAAGGTCGGGGATTTTAAGTTAAGCCACTGTCACACATAGTAACTAGCCTCTACCAGGCTTCGCGAGGCGACTGGAAAGAGTAGAAAATGGTCAAATAGAGGGATAACATTCCAGGGGAGTTGGTCCGCTAGCGGAGTACACCCGGGTGCGACAAAAGTACTCTCTAGCGGACCAACACCCTCGGTATGTTATATCTCTATTTGGGCAATTTTGTACTTTTTCCAGCTGCCTCCCGAAGCCTGTTAGAGGCTAACACATAGCCAAATATGGCATCCCGAACACTGCCAACCACTTTTCGGACCGCTACGCTCACTAGGTGGTTTATTCGGTGGTTATTGGACCTGACCAGGGATTATCTCACCATATACACCTTGGGGCGGGCGTTAACCCTTTATTGCTTAGGTTCCCGTGTGTAGGTTCCTGTATATACAGCAGCTTACGTTTGGCAAATTACGAAGATCCCAGGTTATTGACCGATTATTCAAATAATGCTCACGCGGCTACTCGCGCTGATGGGGGTCAGTGGACAGCTGAAGTCTCAGTATGTCAGTCTTCTGATCCCAGTAATCTCCAAGCAGACCTTTCGGTGGGCGCAACAGTATCAAAGGTGCCAGGCTGTATTCATTGGTGGCCTTCGGTGGCGACATGGTAACTATGTGGCCAATGGATACAGCCTGGCCTATTTGATATGTACAGTCTTTCCAACCACCGAAAGATCTGCTCGGAGATTATTCTGATCCGCCCCCCTCCCCACCATCACATACTCATCATTCCACCAGCAACATCACTGCAGCTAGCTCAGGAAGGCCGTCCACAAATATGACCAGGACAGGGGGCCAGGGCGCTATATTATCGGTTCTAGACCACCAAATACGACGATGTAAGCAACAGTTGTGTGATCTTGACATCAAAGTTGTATGTAGGTTACTTAGCTTACATTCTCAGTATAGAATCGTAAAAAAATGTAACATCCGTGTCCATAATATCACCAGGGTCCATGATATTTTTACTGCAACATACTTCTGGTATGCACTCCTGCACACCTCAAATGTACATACCCAGGGTATATTGCAGTAAAAATATCTTAAAGCACACTATTTCTCAAGGCGGCGATATTATGGACCCTGGTGATATTATGGACACGGATGTTACAAGTTGTAATGTTCATATTGTTATAGAACTTGTATGAAGCGTCTCTGTCAGTTGTATTCTTTTATTTCTGTGTTGAGGCTAATACTATACCAGCCCCTGGAGTTGTCCACCACCGTGTCCTGTGTATTTACATGTTGAACAGTATAATAAATTTTAAAAAATCGTAACAATGTACGACTAAACTTTATATACGAGCCACCACAGACACAGCGGGAGGCGACACCGACGGTACACCAGGATAAATAAGGTCATTGGCGCCAATTTATGTCGGTAGGGTCATAAACCAGTCCGAGTCGCCCCTTGGTATAAAAGGAAGTATACTTGACCCTTGCATTTTGGAATTTAAACCCGCTTATTTACGAGGGGAAAAGACGAGAATAGTTTTTGGGGTATGTGTTAGGTTATAAAAGGTACTGATCAGCAGAAGATTGTTGAGTGTGTAGCATGGTAACCGGACCAACTAGTTCTTTAACTCCCTGTCACACATTCAGAACCTTCCCCCGAACACCAGCCGACCAAGGTTGGCTGAAGTTCTGGAGCCACGCCTACCTTTCTATATGAATCGAATCGAATTTGAGTTAAATTTGAGGAAAATTCATCTGCCAACCACGCCCGACCTACTCCCAAACACCAGCCAACCGTCAGCCAACCACAGCCGAACCTCCCGACCACACTATAATGTTTTCAGAATTGGAGCATTCGGCCTGCGCAGCCAAGCTGTAGTCGACCTGGCCGAACACCAGCCAACCACAGCCGATCTTGCTCCCGACCTACTCCTATCATGGTTGGGGGGAGTTCTGCTAGTGTCTGGGAGCCTTTATTCGGCTCTGTACGTGCGACAGGGGCTTTAGGCTTTACCGTCGTATTAAATATTACAGTCATATGTCGCTCTTGGGGAGTAGGGGCTCTGGGTAAGGGTCCGTACCTCGGGTTTTCACACCGAACCAGGGAACATTAGCGACACCCGGACACACAAGAACAACTGAAGTTGGGGTGGTCATCGACAACGATGGATGAACATCGTCATCACGTCGCCTTGGACAAGTGTGGTGTGACGAGCACGTATTTTTGTTGGACAATGTAGATTTTCATGCACGTGATGGTCTGAGAATTTTAACATCACATTCTGTCATCGACACGCGTGGTGACTCAATGTTTGACTACAGACGATACTCCGTTCTTCTTCTGTCGCATATGTGACACATACCTCTTCCATCAGAAGTTCCTACCAATGACGTGTACGTGGCCAGCTCGAGACTTCAAAGTTGATTTTGAACCAACAAAAATAAAAACAAGCATGCATCTATCTCCTCACAATTCGGCCATGTCTATCAGACATGTCATGTCTCTCGCCCTACATCCCACCCTCAGAGTTTTCTCTGCACCGGCGGCGATAAGTCAATGTTAACATTTTGTGGATTTTCGATGTATATTTAGCACCTTAGTTATGATAAGTTCATAAGCTTGTTCCGTCCGTCATCATCCGCCATGCCTGAAGTTAACATCCACCAGGAGGTACTATTTTGCTCAGGAAACAAAACATGGACGGATTTTGTTCATTGATTCTAGTTTTAACAACGTGAAACATGTCAAAAGTTCGACTTTAATTTACAGTAACTGCTCATTTATGGAATTCTACCATCATGATGGCATCATGAGTCCTCTGGTAAGGTAGTGGACAA